TGGTATCCTAGAAGAAAACTTTAGGTGTAAGTTCTACTAAAATTTTTCTTCCTAAATGTGTCCAGCCTGCTTGGATTTGAATATTGTGTTTCAGTCTCCATTTGCTCCAGTGAGGAGCTGCTAAGGGTCTGTGACATGGAGGGTGAAGAGAAAGGTCTTTTCTCTCCATGTCCAAGTCAGGAAAGCTGGGAGATCAGGGCCCTCAGTTCTGAGTAGTCTCCTTACCTTTGTGACTTTTGCATGTCGTACCCATTAGCAATATCCCCAGGTTCTTCCTTATAAATGTCCAGCGTCATCACAGTGAGCCTTTTTTCATCAGAGCTTTGTGAACATGCATTGGCTCTGCCAAGTTTTTGTGTAGATCCCTTGAGCCGTATTTGTTTGTGTTCTAATTCCCCAAAGCCTTTCTTGGATTTTTGCTACTCTAAGCCATACAGTTTTTCTCACGCTTATTAAATATCTGTGCTTGGGGTGGTGGGAAAATAACTTGATTTATGGCAATCTCTCATGTTGTCACTGCTCTTTCGAGTATGCATCTACACCAACACCATGAAAACAGATTTATCATAAGCAGAAGTTACTTTAATCACATATCATTTGAAGTTAAATGTCACTCATGACAATAGAGCCAAATGACAATGAAGGTGGTGTAACACGTGTAAATCAAAAACATGTGCAAGCCCACTGGAAAGCAATTCAATCCAAAGACAAGTGGGGGCCTTGACTGGCCGCTGCCCAAAGGCAGTGGAGGCACTTGCCAGAGTGAGAAGGCATCGGGACAGAGTTTGGCTACAGCGGTGGCAGCAGTGGGGTGTACAGACATCTATGAGTGGGGTGGCAGAGACAGTAGGAGACAGGTTTCTCCATGCAGGAAAAGAGAAATGAGAATGAGCTTGTGGCATTGGACTGGAATTGGAAACATCAGGGTGAACTTGTAGCTTTTAATATATATATATAAATGAGTAATATGTGTACCTAAATATTAAAGTATTTGACATCTCTTAATGCAGAAAGGTATAAATGGTATCTGTGTGTGTATACACGTACATAAACTCACAGGCATGTTCCTTAGCTTTGTCTTCAGAGGTGGCCTGGGAGCCTGGAGCCCTGATAGCACTGCACACACCTCACATTCAGACCTGGCTTTCTAAAGGGCAGAAGCAGTACAAGATGAGCCTAGAACATCTTGTGCCAGAAAGTAAGAAAGTGCTAGAAGAGTGACAGGATCGTGATAAGAACAAACAGTGAGAGTTCACATTGGCTAAATCTGAGATAATTTGAACATCAGAGTAAATACTGAAGTAATAGGTGAAACCCATTGAAGAAAATAGGAAACCATGAGTTCATACTGCTATAAATAGGTAATGTAAACCAGGTAAAGAGCATTCTTTTTCTTGTAGTTGCATATTGCACTAATGTAGCTTGGTCCCCAAGTTGCCATGATTCAGTTTGCAATTATTCTGGCTTTTCAATGATTTAAAAGCAGTATGCATTCAGTAGAAACCATACTTTGACTTTTGTTCTTTTCCTTGGCTTGTGATATGCAATCCAATTCTCTCGTGACGTTGGGCAACTGCAGTAAGCCACAACTCCCAGTCAGCTCAGGATTGCCCAAAAAAAATCATCAATGCTCCACAAGTGTGCTGTAAGCTGTTTTATAGGTTGTGTGAACAATTAAATGCATTTTGGACTTGACAATATTTTCTACTTAAGATGAGTTTATCAGGATGTAGGTTGAGGACCATGAGTATGTGTAGAAAGAATGATGGCATTCTTGCCGAAATGCATCACCTGAATCTAGCATTCTTGCCGAAATGCATCACCTGAATCTAATCATGAGGACACATTAGACAAACCCAAACTGAGGATAAGGAGCTGTTCCAGTTGTGAAACTGAAAGGACTTGATAACTTAGTGTTATATGTGACCCTGGCTTGGTCCTGTAGCTACAAAGGATGTTGTTGGGACAGTGGTGGCACTTGGAGTTTGAGGATCAGATGGTAGTGAAATACCAGTGTTAATTTCTTGATACTGATGGTTATGTTAACCATCAGTGGCTTTGTAGGAGGGTGTCCTTGTTTGTAGCAATTACACATCAGCGTCCTTAAAGAGGTCTCCTGTCTGAACGTACTCACAGAAGATTTAGGGGTACAAATGCCCTTGTGATTTTGACATTATTTCAGATGTTTTGAAAAATAGTAAAGTATTCTTTTAGGCATATTCACTACTAGAGAAATTGTTTTTGTTTCTTTCAAAACAATAAAGACAAGACTGTATGTGAACCTACAACAGGACAATATGTGTCATTATTAGGATTTTGATACATTTTAGATACAAAAATAAGCTTACAGAGGATCCCTAGAAGACTTTTTTGCGTACAGCCGAAATAGCTCAGTTGGGAGAGCGTTAGACTGAAGACTTTTTTGCATACCAACTACACTGAGTACACACATATAAAGAATTTTAAAGTGGCTGGCATAGTTTTGTTTCTACTCAGGTTTCTAGACTTGAGGCCTAAAAACATTTCACCATTTTTCAGGTTTTAAAAGCAGCATACTGGGAAAGAGAATATTGGGATTTATTGTTTTTATTGTTCTTTTTGCAAAGTAATTAAGAATGTAGGCCCTGGAGCCAAACTGCCTACATTGGAGCTCTAGCCACAACTTTTAAGATGAGCCATCTCTGGCAAAGTATTTGATTTTATTTCTGTACCTCAGTTTTTCCATGTGTAAATTGGGATAGTAATGTGGGACTCAGAAGTCTGTCAACAGGATAAATGAGGTAATCTATTCAAAGCACTTGCCCATAACAGAGTAGCACTCAATAAAGCTATTTCATTAAAAAAAAAAAAAAAGTTCAAATGCTTCTGTAAAAACCATTCTAGTATGATTATTTTTGCTTTCTTTTCTTTCACCAGGAATAGAATTACTAGGCCATAAGAATTATGGCTTCTACTTTTTAATCTGTTTAATGATCAAATTAAAGCCTGGGAATGGGGTATAATCTAAAAAAAAAAAATCTGGGCAACACAGTAGAAAAACTCGGGCTTTGGAGAGCTAAGACACTGGTTAAATCCCAAGCCTGCCATTTATAAGGTTTTTCACAAGGGTCCTGATCTGTAAAATGTCTAATGTCTAAATCACAATAGTGATCACAAGGATTGCTGGGGGTTACATGAGATCATCTTTGCAAAACATCTAACTTAAGAATGTCCTCAGAAAACAATGCTTATTTTATGTGACTCCTGTAGAGGTGCAGGTGGTGTGGTTCTTTAGAGAACACAGGCACGGGACCAGGGGTGGGAGCAGGAGCCCGCTAAACTCCTGCTGTTTCTGCAGAGCTTTACATACCTACGGATGGCTCATGTTGCTTCAGAAGGAATTTCACTTGACAAAAAGCATATCATCTGTTATGTAATCCGATTCTCAAGAGATGCTGGAGAAGGGTAGGTGGCAATTTTTCTAGAGCAGTGTGGTTTAGTGCACACAAGCCTTGGAACCAGGGACAAAGGATGGAATGGTTCGTCCAGTCCCATCTGTGTGTGAGCAGGAAAAACCATATTGATTTTCCTGGCTGTAAAATGTAAGCCTTTCATTATTCCACAAAGAAGGTCATATCAGGTGCATAATTAAAGTGTATTTGTAGACTGGGCCCTGGTGGCTCATGTATATAATCCTAGCTGCTAGGGAGGCTGAAATAAAGAGGATCACAGTTCGAGGCCAGCTCAGACAAAAAGTTGGGAAGACCCTATTCCCAAATAACCAGAGCAAAATGGACGGGGGGTGTGGCTTAAGCAGTAGAGCACCTGTTTTGCAAGGGCAATGCCCTGAGTTCAAACCCCAAGCCTGCCAAAAACAATTGTTTTTACATACATATATATTTGTACATTTTAAAGAAAAAATGTGCTTCCTATAGAGAACATTTAGTTGTTCATCTCAAATTAGTGGCCCTTGGTCATTGATCTAGGGCTTCTTTAGAACTCATAGTATTATCAACTGTTTTCCTGTTACACTTTCTTCTACTTTAATTCTTTTACTCAATTATTGCCATAAATTGAAAACTCCTAATATTCCAGGCACCCTGCCTGGAATAAAGTCAGTTATTAAAAAGTGAACAAAAGGTACCTCTCATGGGACACGATTCCGTCTCCTGCTCTTGTAACCTCTGCTGGGTTTTATGGGCACATTTTGCAAAGGAGCATACTTTGAATCATTTTAAAAATCAGATTACATTGGCAACAGATAATATTTGGAATGTATAAAAACAGGCTTGTCTTCACAAGCCTTGTTCCCATACCTAGAGAGTTTCTTCAAGCACTATCCCTTGAAAGCAGGAGAAGAACCCGTGGTTGATTGCTCCTGTGAAATTAAACTTTGACTGGTTGCTGGCTGAATGTGTTATGAAGTAGAAGCTGCAAGTGGCATTGCTTTCAATCCATGGGAGGGGATTTTTCCTTTAAAAAATCATGGAGATGTTAACTCTCTCAGCCCACTAGTGGCACAAAAGAAAACTGCTGCTCAAGTCTGAATTGACAGAGGAAGAAAGCAGCAGTTACAGTCCATTTCCCTGTTACAAAGAGTATTGCTGCACCAGGGAGAGCTCTGCAGCGAACAGCATGCCACAAAAGAACTTTGCAAGTGAAATAACTCTTGTTTCATTCAATATGCCAGTAGCATGTTTATTCAGTGTGGTGCCTTTGCTGAGATAAGACCCATTTCCTTCAGATGCCCTCCTATGTCATTTGTTTAGCTGGAGAACTTAATGAGTAATGAATGTGCTTGTCTGGCCGATACAAAGTATTTCCACAGCCCAAGGCTGTGTTTATAGAAAGCTTGAGAGAGACCACAGGCAGCAGTTTGTCTTAGGTATCAGCAAACTCTTTAACAACTAGAGAGAATTTATTTTTAACTGCTTGACTCAGTGTTCGTCAGATGATTCGGTCCATCAAGCTGCAGATCGAAGCACCCAGTGTGGAGGGAATTGGAATGGCAGGAGGAAGGGGGCTGGCTGGGAAAAGGGGTGGGATTTTAGAATCGTGCCTCCCAGGCTCTGCCTCCCAAAGTGGGAGAGAGTTAAGGGATTCCAGCATCAGGAGTGTGTTTGCAGGTCAAGCTGGGAACTAAAGGGTAATGGCTGCCTTCAGCTACTTAGAGACCTAATCACCCCATGATTGGAGTATTGTGAAGAGCGACCAAGACCAGAGACCCGAGCATTCTGAGCACACTGTCTGCTGACCTGCAAAGCGAGCCGTTCTCCTGCTGGATGCTGCCTGTCTCCAGAAACCTCTCACCATGATCGATAGCTCCAAGAAGCAGCAACAGGGCTTCCCAGAGATTTTAACTGCTGGAGATTTCGAACCTTTAAAAGAAAAGGAATGCCTTGAGGGGAGCAACCAGAAAAGTCTCAAGGAAGGTCAGTCTGTGTGGACAGGAACAGGATGGTCAAGCTCCTATTCCCGTCGGCCGGCCAGTATGTCTGTCTGCTTACCATGCTGTGTCTGTTCTCTTGTCCACCCATAGTCCTTACATGTTGCAAGTTGTGTGCAATGAGAACTTGATGTTGTCACTAAAGGTTCATTAGCTAATAGAACGCTAGGGATTTTACAATAATTGGTACAGTGAGAGGACTTATGAAGCCAGTCCTGATTTCAGTGAAATTGGTCTACTCATTTTGTATATTTGCACATTTTCTCTGATTTTTAGCTCCCCCTCCTTTGTGAGAGGCCATTTCTTTTTTGATATTAGAACACTTCTTCCTTTAATTCTGCAAACATAAAATTTCAGAAAATTCATTCTCCCCAATTAACATGTTAACATGTTGTTGTTATTTAAAGCCAGAAAAGTAGTTAGCTCTTTCTTTATTTAACCCTAAAATGATGGATCAGTTCATTGTAATGTGCATTGTGTACTTTTTGTTTGTTTTAAAAGCACATTGCATAGTTTTTGAGTTTTGTTTTTTTAACAAAGCAAGCAAAGAATAAGCTTGAGAATACTGTCAGTTATTGAGCACTGCACAGGTACTGCAGATTGATTTAAGAAAACGGCCAGAGATATGGGCATTGCTAACCCCTGTCCTGGCACACTGAAGGTAGCAAGACCAGTACATGTGTGCTTCATTGTAACAGCAGAGGTCAGGGGCATGGTTTAGGAAAGTCAGGGTCTGCAGAGTAAGTTTTTCCTAAATTTGAGACATGCCATTGCCTGCCTCACACTGGGTTTCCAGCCCCATTTTAGGAGGCCAAGCTCCTCATGATAACTCTTTTTCCTTTTCCCTGCTTTCATCCTCATCAACTACCCCTGCCTTCCCTCTGGCTCTTACTCATCTTACAGAGAATGCAGCTCATTTGCCTAAATAACCCTGTGAGCTTCTTCGAAAAGGATACTCAGACATTTAGACTATGAGAACATGATGATAGTTTATTATAGATTTAAAAGTTCAGAAGAAGAAACAATTAGACTTGCTGGAATTGAACTACTTTTGGGTATGGGTAGAAAAAACACCTAGATCCAAACAAATGACACACAATGAAGTATAAATAGCTGCTGCTAAGAACTGAACAATGGGTTGCCTCACTTGTGCCAGCATGCTCTATTGTAGATTGTTGCACAAATCAATGGGAGTTGAGTTTTTAAGACACATTTCTGGAGGCTCATTGAGAGAACATAAATTTTTTAAATCATTCATTTAAAAAAAACTTAAAGAATCACCTATGTGTCATTTAAGTCAAGTTTAAGTGTTAGCTCTTATTAATACCGTATATTTTTATTTGATAACGTGAAAATAACTTGATTCCTATGAAAAATTGAATATGTGCAATCCAGTATGTCACAGTTACTGCCTGCAGATGAACACCCACCAACAGTCAATCTAGCAGATTGGTAGACTGACATCGGGACAAGGCCCTGGGGAACTTCGTCTACTTTTAGGTATAGGGTCATACATGGGTTGTATTAATCTGTGGAAAGTGATTGGTAAGACAGCAGTTGTCCACTGGTTTACCACTGGAAATGCCCTGCAGTCTAAGTAGGTCCTTTGCTGTTTTTTCAAAAAAGACAAATATAAATGACTGTTGATAATGCCTAATAATTTATACCTCATGTGTTAAGGGATACCCATTCAGAATATTTGTTATAGGTCACATCACTTATGTGTAGTTTTCTATTAATTTTTGGCAAGGCTGGTTTTTGTTTGTCTGAAAAGCAACCTCTAGATTTTTTTTTGGATGTCTGAATCATAAGTTTCTAGGTAATGAAAGGAGAATACATTTTGGTGCATTTAATTCTAATCACATAGACACCAGCCTGGTCTCTGGTATTGCTGACTTATGTCTGCTGTAAGGGACTGGGAGTTACTCTGCCTCTCAATTGCTTGCTTGCTTATATTGAGATATTTTCTAGTTCATGTAACTGTTGACAATGCTAGCTGGCCAAAATTATTGGGCAGGGGTGAGGAGAAGCAGGCTTTTAAAGCAAATAATTACAGGATTCAATAATTTATGTAATATCTTAGTAAGAAATTTTAGTAATTCCTGCTTCCCAATCTCCACGAGGGTCTTGGGCAGCAAGGCAAGTACTCTTCTCACTGAGCCACACTCCCAGCCCGAGGAAGAAGTCATAGTGTAGACCACCTATGAATGAATAGTTTTCATCACATACCAGGGAATTGTTTATTAATACTTATTTGAACTTTTTGATAAATACTAACCAATGTGCATAGTTGGAGAATTGTTTTTTGCTCTGAGTGAGAATAGCAACAATCATCATAAATTCCCCTGAACAAATTCAGAATAGAGCATTTTTCTTAGACTAGTTTTTTTTTTTTGTTTTGTTTTTGTCAAAATTGCAGTAGGGAATCTCAACTTTTAGCTTAGCTACAAAAGCTAAGAACATTTTCTAATTATATTCAACACACATGAGATTTAAATTTGTAAATCTACAACTAAGGCTATTGCACATCACTCTGTCTTGACAACAGATGAATTGATGATTATGAATTTTCAGGAAAAATCAAATAAATTGGGATGATTTAATTCAGATACAAGTTTTAATGAGTCATTATTGAGATAAGTGAATCATAATAACAATGCTCCTAGCTAGTTATACCCCATATTTATCAAAGGCAAAGTGATAGTAACTGAATTTAAAGAGAAGTTGAAGTTTGGTATAAAGAACTCTAATATTGAAAATAAGGTATCAAAGAAAGAAAACTGATTGTGTATTAATTAATTTGGCTAGAAGTGCTCTGCAAACAGCCCAAAATGCAGTATTTTTAACCCTCAGAATGCATTTCTTAATTACAATATTCTGGTGTGTGTTTGGACCACTGTATCTTAGGTAAGTTGTCCTCTGTGACATGACATAGAGATCTGAGCTCCTTTCACTTTGTGACTCTACCATGGGAGTTGGGGGAAAGGAGGAGGTGCAGGTTTGAGGACCACATTCTCAATTCTGTCACAGACTGGTTCAGAACAGCCAAGATGAAGTGTGTGAGAATTTGTGGTCAATGGCCTTGGAAACAGATCAGTGACCTAACATGTCTTCTTGGGCATATCCATCAGAGAGCTGTTTAAGAAGAAAATAAGCATTTGTCTGAGAGATTCTGAGCAATCCAACTTGGGAATGTAGATTCAAAAAAGTAAATAAACAACTTTGCCACAGCACCAAACTTTCATGTCATGGAAATGAACTCATACACAACCCTGCCTGCAGCATCCATTAGCCACATGTATTATTAAAACAAAGTCTATTATGGTGGTGGCATTCATAGTCCCAGCTGCTCAAGAAGCTGAGGCAGGTGGAGTTCATACCAAGATCCTCATCTGAAAAATAAAAACAAAACAATTGAGTGAAATAATTAAAATGGATAAAACAATTCGAGTTTAGCTCCTCACATTGACCGCCTTTGCTCTGCTCAATTACGCTGTGGAAGGAACATTTTCATACTCACCAAGTTCTCCTGGACAGCACTACTATAGGCTCTACTCCTGTCACCCTGCCCGCAGGCCCCAAGTTTATGAAAGCACAGTTCCTAAAGAAAGCTGCTTGTTCTTGCCACTGAAATACTTTATTCTCTCCTAAACATTGCCAGTAGCTGCACCTAAGTCTTCTTACAGCCTTTCTCCAGAGACCGGTGTAATATTCATCCGTGCTATTGTCACTTTTAAGCTGTAATGTTTCTTGGAGATAAATCATTGGCCCATTTTTACTCCTCACTCCCAAGGTCCTGTATCTCATAGACACATTATTATTATTACTCAACAAATATTTGAAGAACATTATATACCCTTCTCTGCCTTCTTAAACAGAATATAAAAAATTTGAACTGTTAACTTCACTTATAACTTTATTTTAAATTAATGGCTCACCAAAAATGTAATGAGCTATGCCTATAAGGTCTTGCTGAGCTGCACCAGATCACTCCCTCGTGCACAGGATGGTCCCTGGATCATATCTGGGTTACTTCAGCGCAGTTATTGTTTAGGGTTCTGCCACTTCCAGCTACTCTCCCTTTTTTGATGTGCTGCTTCTAACCACCCCTTTAAGTTAGACAACCAAAATATAATAAAATTCTAATGTTATTGCAGGGTTATTTGTTGAGCCTCAGTGGGAGAAACAAATAAATGGGTAGTTAAAACAAAAGTCTTAGAAAGCTTTTTGTAAGTATAGAGCATGACTTTTGTCCCTAGCAGGTTTTAATTATTTGCTTTTTGCCAGCATTCTTCTTATTGAAAGTATCATACAAGTGAGTTACCACTAAATAGTGTTTTTATTTAAAAAATATGAAAAGATAGGAGATACGTTAACATACAGATACTGATGAAAAAGTAGTCATGATTCAGTATTTTTAAAACTGAGCTCATGCTACTTTTGAAATGAGATTATATAGATTAATTTTTGTTGAAAACAATTTTATTTAGCAGAAACGTGAGATGCTTTCCACATGGCACCATAGTGGGCATTGTAAACCTCTATAAGCCACTGCCTTCAAGAAGCTTATAGCCTAAAGAGTGAGGACCTACATGATAATACAGAAGTGAAAACATATAGAAATACACAAAAGAGACAGCAGAACACTATATGCTTTCGTCCACATGAGTGGGCATCACAGACTGAGGGCCTGGCTCTTTCCCGACCAGAGCAGTCATCTCCCTCTCTTCTCTCTTCCTGGGGCCTCTCATTTCTTCCCACCTAACATACTGCTCCAGGGATGGCACCTCTGAGAACCAACCAATGGTTCACACCAGGAGCCACAACGGCAGCAATTCTACACACCTTCCCTGACCTCCTTGTAGCCTGTCACCAGGTATCACTTCCTCCTCAGAAATATGCCATCCCTCCACAGCCCTGCATCACCACGGCAACACTGTGGTCCAGAGTTCACAGGAATCTATGCTGAAGCAGAGCGAGCCCTGC